TGCCACATACCTTTCAGCTGATGGAGAGGCACAACTGGAGAAACAAGGCCCTGGAGGGGGAGAGCTGGCCCGTGAGAGGATGAGGGGAGCCCGGTCTAGACGATGGGCTTCCCACTAGACACTGTATCTGAGGTAGCGGGTGGACAACAAGGTAATGATAACAGAATGGTCTGCTTAGCTCCTGTGTGTGTTCGCTGATGCTGGTGCTGGTTGCGACGACGATTGTGATGAAGGAAACTGGGAGTTATTACCACTGCTGAATCTGATCGCCAAAGGCCCGCCGCGCGCCTTATGTTGCGTGAAGCTGCTTTCCAGCGTGTGAGGGGTGGTGATGCCCCACGGGACCCATCACCTGCCGGCGGTCCCCGCTAGGCGACATGGGAAATAGCCTCCCCTGTATATGGAGAGCTATATATGGACTGGTAGGTAGTTAAGCTGGCTTTCTGGGTGGCTGGCAAAGACCCATAGCTCCGGAAGACCCGTCCTCCTATATAAGTACAACAATAACCTGCGGTCAATTGAACCCGCGACCCCGTACAACAGATGAGCTCGTGGCAGCGTCCAGCGAGCATTTACCCGAAAGGCTGAGATTGCCCGACGATACGGGAAACCTGCGGCGCAAGCGACATGCCAGGGGTTCCTTGGCAGCACCAAGTCCCCATTCCTCTATCCCGCATGCCATCATGCCTAGAGTCAAATCCGTTACCTCTTACGTACGCAGTATGTCAGCAGTTAGCGTCGGCGATATGGGGTGAACAGGGCATTAAGCAAAGGTGTCCCATAACTACGGTTCCCACCCTACGGATATCAATCACATCCCCTCAAGTGTAAGCAGGCAAACCCACCCCCAGCCAATTTCACTTCCCCAGACCTGGGTGCTCACATCTCCCAACCTCCAACTAATTAAGCCTAACCCGAGACCAGGTCTAACTGCTCGAAAGTCCTATCTTTGCCTAACCAGGAACCCCCACCCCCCCAAATGGCTCCGCAGATGTAGTGTATGCAATGTTTTTCTGGACTTCTGGCGCCCAATTCAAAAGCATTGTTCTTCAGGTCAGTGTGCACACAGCATGGGCGTAGCCGTGTGGATTGCTTTGAGAGTCGCGGGCTGGTGCTGTGGCTGCACCCACGCAGGCAGTGGCGTAGCCGTGTGGATCCCAGGTAAACCTGTCGGTTCGATCCGTCCGGAATACTAAAGGTCGTACGGAGTATCCGTACGGGTTCACTCCCGTCTAATTAGCTTGGGCTGTCAATGCCCCGAGCATCCGGGCTGGACCTAGAGCCCGGAGCGAACGATATACCTATCCACGGTAACTGTTAGATTGAGGGGGTCGTTTTGTTATTTTGCCAGTGCTCTTAACATCTCAAAACTGAATAACATATCCCATAACCCGAACTTCCTAACTAACCCTAACTCCCTAGACCCTAACTTCCTAGACCCTAACTTCCTAGACCCTAACTTCCTAGACCCTAACTACCTAGACCCTAACTACCTAACCCGATACTTCTGAGCCTTTATTTCTGCGATTTTCCATCATTCTTCTATAGGTTTGTTGAAGGTATACGTTGATGCGCGGAGTGTATCAGTGCGCGCTGAGTAAGGAGTTCTGCGCACTGAATTTTTTTTATTATTACTTTTTTTTTTATTATTATTAATTTTGTTTTTTTTCGGGTGGTGGTCTGCGCGCCTGCTGTGTTAGGCTTAGGGCGGGTAAAATAACAAAAACGACCCCGTCAGTTTGGCAGTTACCCTATCCACAGGTTAGGCTCTAGGCGGGCTAGGCGCAATTGGTTGCCCGAGCATGGACAAGGCCGCCTGGGGATTCTTACCAGGCTCACGACCCCACAAACGTTTCAGATGGGCGTCCGTTGTTTTTCTCGGCCTATATAATCCTTGTCGATCGTGAGGCCGTCGTTGAAAACAAACCCGGTTTGGATGTTACCGCCGCGGACGCCCTGAACTTACCACTGTACGTACCTCTATACGGATACGACCACTACACATCGCAACGAGCTGCTATAGGACGAGTAGGTTGGGATGAGGCTTGGCGCATTGACGTCGTGCAGGCAGCACGCTGTCCGACGAAACCTCCACAGCATCCACCAGTCGTTCCTCCGGACGGCTAGAGCCGACGACACTCAGGGACTACCTAGGCACCAGGCTCCGAGGGCATGGGCCGAGTGATCCCTGCACAAAAAGATGGACTATGTCTGTGTATCGTAGATACATGCCCCCCCCCCTGGGTAGCGGGTCAGCGGCATGGTGAATTCTAACTGTATAGGGGGCTATATAAGGTAGAAGATTGAATTTAGTTTCAGTCCAGTCAGAACCACAGCCTAACTTGGTCGCTGTTGAACTTGGTCCCGGTTTACTTTATACCAAACTAAGGTAGGAACCAGGCTAAGGGGAAACCGAGACTTGACTGAGACAATGCTAGGCCTGAACTGCCAAACGAAAGAAATCCCAGGGGTGATGCTATAAGGTACACACTAGTGGATTTGATTCGCTACCTAACCCTCCCAAAAAGAAAAAGCGCGTTTTGTACGTTTTTCTGCACACACACACACACACAAACATCAATATATATATATATATATATATACTTATATACATATACTTATGTATATATATATATCCTATGATGATTCCTATCCCACAAGCGGGGTCACTCCTAGCTGAACGGAGCTGCCCATACCTAATGCTAGACAGCTTCTATGACCAACAGCTTTGAATTCTGTGGTCGAGGCACGAAGCTTAGGGCAACTGAGTGTTTCCCGAGGTTCACGCTGGTTGAATGTAAGGTTGGGGTTACCTGGCCTGCTCAGTAGGATCAATGCTAGTAGGCCACTGATGAATTGATTAAGCAGGTGCCTTGCTCTTTAGCGGTCTGTCTAGCCTCTGTGCAAAACATCTCAAATGTCAAGTGGACAGGGGCTACACAAGTCGAGCAGGGAGACTGATGTGACGTGGGCGCGGTATGGAGCTTGCGATCCTATAGGTCTAGCTTAGAGTAAGCAGCAGATAGGCCGGCAACTGCCGTCGCCCTGCGCGGCGCTCTCTGCTCAAGAGACAGGTATGGTTTGGTTTATGCTCTCCGCTACGACCCGTGTTGGTTAACTGATAATGGATTGGGGTTGGGCACTGGTTTCATACGCACTTTGGCTTATCTATCTCGGCTGTGAGAACTAGGGCGGAGCGGATAGATGTACATCACATCCCTATAGACCGGATAGCACTTGGTGGTGCTTAAGTGTGGGTGTTCATTGTCCTTTGAAATGTAGGATATAGGGCTGTATAACCCCGCTCTTATACTGCTATACCTTATAAAGGACGGGCGGGTTGTCGCTGGCGCACGCTGATATAAGCCAGGTGTATGCGTCTTCCAAAGTAGACGACGTTAACGCAGTCACATAGTACGTAGACCCCTAGGATAACTCTTAGGGGGGGCAGGGGCGGGATTTCGATGTTCAGCTTGGGTAGCTCGGGCCTAAAGGTAGCTACGAGCATATTCTGCCCGCCACTGCCGCCGCTAGAGGCGCGCTTAACCCGCAGTAAGTCTCTTACACTATGATAGGCCCGGCGACAGGCCGCAGTCCCCGACGCCGACCCCGATCCCGATCCCGATCGTTCCGGAGATGGCCGATGTCACGGGGGTATTGCCCGCTGCCTCATCATCGGCTTCGCCTACTGCGTGGAGAAGAGGAGTAGTTGGCTGTGCTGTGTAAGGTTGTGGCGCCTGCGTTTGAGGCCAGGGTAGACGCTCCAGCTCTGATACGCTATAGCTGACTGCTTAACATGTAATGGTCAGTCTACTACACGATTGAGTTTGACGCGGAATTCAACTGCAGCGTCTGTGCGTGAGTCAGAACAGCCCTATCTAGCAAACGAAGCTCTTTCCGTCGCGGCGATCGGCCATGGCATCACTTATATAGGTTGACTTCCTGCTGCATCTCCCTAGCTGTATCCTGGCGGGACATTGCTATTGCAGCGATACGAGCCTTTGAGGGTTGTTTGTTTGGGTGCAGGGCTGTACCTGTCCGCCTCTGGGCCTGATATACAAGCGAGCCGCGTGTGACAAGCGCACGTCAGTAAATGGTATGTTGTTGTTGGCCCAGCATAGCCGAAGTCTCATCACTTCAGCGCTATAAACCGGTCCTCCTGTACGCCAGACTCCCTAGTGAGAATGTCAGATGAATACCTTACGACGACGACGACGACGACGACGATGATTCCTCCCCTCGCAGACCATAATAACAACGGCCCAGTCCATGTGAGATCGGTGCCAACGGCCGCCGCCAGCGGCTCATCCCCGGCTTCCGCCTTTGAACCGGGTAGGGTCGGCTCCTCGCCGTCACCGGCCGCGCTACAATGTCGGGAATCATCAGGTACACCCCCCTTCTCGGGTACGAACGACGGAGACAACACCACTGCCACCGGCCTCCACCAGTGCCCGCATTGCCGGCGCCGATACTCACGGCCTGGGTATCTCGCGCGCCACATCCGAACATACACTCTCGGCGAGCGGTTCACATGCCTGTTGTGTTGCAGGGCGTTCGCTCGTCAAGATATCCTGAGACGTCACGTTGCTAAACACGACCTCAGGCGCGGCCACGGCCGGGAACGAGGCCTCTCGAGCACTCCACCCAGGACTGGTCGCGTCTCTTACGCTTGCCGGCATTGTGCTGCTGCCCGAGTCAAGTGCGACGAGATCAAGCCGTGCACACGCTGCTGCAGCCGCAACATTAGCTGTGAACTAAATCCCGCGAACCGGTCGTCCTTGACGGACGCCCTGCATATCCACCTGCGCGGGAATGTCAACGGCAGCAGGCACGGCGGCGGTGGCGACCGCCCGGTGATGATGTACTCAACCGTCCGTCCCCAGCACGACTACACCTCCAGCGCATACCAAACGCCTGCCCAACGGCAGCCTGCTTATTTGCAAGTGGACGCGAGCGACCCGGTCACTCCGGGGCAGTCCACCGAGGCAGCGTAGCCGCCAATGCCAGAAGGGGGCACGGGGCTGATGCCCGGCGCCGTGCGCGTCCTTCGGGCCCAGATGGGTGCGCAGGGCTTCGACTTCGACGCCGAGGGCCATTCGTCCAGCGCGACGGGGGACGCCATCTATAAGTCGGAAATACACCAGCTGGGATCAGGCATGTCGACGGCGATGACGCTGCGGAGCCAGCGGGTTCTGGACTTTTATAGCAGCCATGGCCCGGGGCCGTACGGTCTGGCCTTCTTCTCTAGGTAGGCTCTAGTCATCCCCAGCAGCCGCGTACGGGAGGCGTGACAGCTGCACTAAGGCACCCTGGATATCCAATGCGTCCGGCCTAACAGCAGACGCCTTCAAGTCGGTCTCGGGGCGCAACACACAGCCGTCGAGGTTCGTGGGAAGTTTCCCGTGTTAGTGGGAATCAGGCCGTTTCCTGCTATACTTGCCGTTGAACATCGGCAGCACGTCTATCAACACGTGGGAACGCCACAAGCCCACTTAGATCTAGCGATCCGAGCCTGGGGGGGGGGGAGGGTGAAGCATTACGTGGGTGGGGCGCTTATACTACTACATACTACACGCACCTGTACACGCCACGCCACATGAGGTGCATCTAGGTACTAAGGTATATCTAATGTATTATGCACCACCCCTAACTGGGCAATTAATGGCTTATGACGACCTGACCTATATAGCCCTATCCGCATCTATTGATGGTCCGGCTATTGCGGGTACTTGAAGCTGCGCAGCATTGTCGGACCCCACACCTTTTAAATAGTTAGCGAGGCGTTTGCATTATAATCCAATCTGCGATGCAGCCTTCGTCAAGTTAGTTATATCAGCCTCTAACGTCTTTAGGTAATCTTCCGCTTTAGTTGCCGGCTTACCTTACACGGCACTGGGGAGCCCTGCCTGTTCATGATACTTATGACGGAGAAAAAGATAAAAAAGATAGAAAGGTAAAAAAAAGATATTAGAAAAAAAGAAATAAAAAGGAAAAAGGAAAAAGAAACAAAGGAAGAAGATGGGGAAAACGGCGAGGGAAAGAGAACGAGTTAGTAGAGGCGAAAGGTTTATCTAACGAGACATCCACAGGCCTCATGAGGATAATCAGGCTCCTGGCGCAGCATAGTAGACCTTCACACACGTCATATGTATTACTAACTCTGCCGAGTCGGCAGCTCCAAGGGGATTGTCCTTTAGGTATACAGACTTGTCTTGCCTTCTGCTAGGCACGTAAACATAATCCTCTTCGCGTCGAGAACGAAGCCTGTACCCGCAGGTCTTAAGGCATGGACTGACAAATCATCTTCACAGCCGCCATTACCAGGCAGACGTGTTCTGTGGTTTTGCGTTGCTATCACCCGAGATTCATCTAGTGCTACTTATCAGGTATTGCGTCTGTGGTATTTGTATGTTGCCTGAGAAATCTTTCGCCTGGGAAATCATTCTGCTGGTATTCGTTGGATCGTTAAGCAGAGTAATGACAAGGCAGCGTGAGCATCTTGTGTAAGTAACAAGGTCTGCTTTAGAGGTTACGAAAAGTACGCGCGTATCAGGGCCCTTTACTGTGTTGGTCAGGTTAGACCAGGTAGCTAGTCGTTTCATTGGCCCCTGATGTGCATTTAAGGATGTTGCGATCACACCCAACACCCCGATCTGCGAGAAGAGCAGGCCTAGACCTGTAAGTTCCACTCTTCTGGTTCACATGCTTCTGGGCTCAGTGACTCTTACAACGCGCATTAGGTGGCTATTGTAGAGCTTATAGGGGGGCTGGGGAGGGGGCCTTGGGCGTTTAGGTATGCATTGGGCTGTTGAAAGGCATGTAGGGAAGCCCTGCGGGGACCGCACTAACCTTGGAGATGTGATACAGGTGCACTAACACTCTGGTCAGCCCCAACATTTAACCTTTGCTCCGTTAAACCCTGTAACGTCGTCCCAGCCCGTCATTTCCGTCAGCTTCTAGCACTCGGGAAGGCTCGTCCGATTCCGCCATGAACTGTCGCTGTAAGCTCTTGTATAATCCACGCTCCCTGTCTCAACCCTGGTCCTCTTCTGAGGTTTATACCCTGGAATAAACGGATAAATACAGTCAGTATCATCCTATGTTTTAGATAATTTGAGCGTTGGGACGGAGGTACTCCGCATGACGGAGCTTCTAGGCTGCGACACTGCTGCGTAGCTAGCGCCCGAGCCACGCAGCCGGCTGGGCCCGACTTGACTCGGCCATTAGGCAATGTCTCTAGGTACCGCTCTGTATATAGATGGACAACGCTATGTTGATGATGAACTTTTACGCAGTGACCCGAGAGTGCTGCTGAATGGAGAGAGGTGAGAGGATGCTATATGAATCAGATGCAATATCTGGAGTTGGTGGATTGAATGCTATGTATGTGGCGTATCTGTGGATTATATATCTGTTTTATATATATACAGAGAGAGAGAGAGAGGGACAGAGAGGGACAGAGGGACAGAGGGAGAAAGAAGGGGTTGTTGATGTTGGTGTTGTTGTTACTGAAGGCTTGTTAGGCAGCGCCTCCACAAGGGCAATAAAAGCAATTTTCACCGCTATACTTGTGAAGTCTTTTTATGTTTTAACTGTTAACACAGGTATAAGCGTATTCAGGGGCGTAGTATATGCGCCTATATAGTATAGGGTTATAGATGGGCTAATATTGTGATAAAAGGTAGTAATCCTGAGCATTTATAGGCATTTAATAGTATAGATAATAATAAGGGAAGGAATGTATTGTGATGATTCCTTTTGATGTAGTTGGCAGGTTATTCCCTAGGGAAGGGAAAAGTGAGGGGAAAGATAACCTGAAACGTAACCTGCTAAACTGCTAATTACATAAGGTGCTTACGTAACTATACGTATTACATAATCATAATTATAGTTATAGGTTATAATAAATAAAGTATTTTTATATAAGGTTTTATACCTTAAAGTCTATTAGTTTATTTTATATAGAATATTTAAGTAAGTAAGTATTCTTATACATATTATTATTATTATATAAGATGTTATATGTTAACATTAACTTTTCAATTGCTTGGCTAATTTGCATTCAAAATGAATTAAGGACTACGTAAATTGACGTCACGTCAGTTTCCTACCCGGGTAAGTTAAAGAGTATCCACAGCTTCACATACTCTCACAAATGCCCTCACGTACAGATCTATAGCCTTCTATTAGTCAGTCCATGAGAAACATACGACATTAGAGGTTTCAATTCAGTTAAGGGATGTGGACTTGATCGATTGGGTCGTGGTGATAGCCTCACTTTGCATAGTTTAGCTGTTAGCGTTGCTACTTTATTTGCCCTCGTGGGGGCGCCGTTGTCAAGGTATATATCCAGCTTTCAAAGTTACTAATCTACCAATAAATAATATGCTGTATGCCGCTATTAGGGGCGTAGAAGGGAAACGTTGAATCGAGAGGGTTCCGCGACCTACACAGAAATATTGCCTGGCAATGATAGCTAATGATATTTACAGGGTAAGGAGTGACACCTGTGACATTCTTACGGAGCTTGATATGTTAGGTTCTTTATTTAGCTATAGATAGATAGCTACCTACCTGGGTACTCTGAATATGCCACTGACAAATTGGTTCTCAAGTATAAAGCCTGGGTTGCATTCGATGAACAGACGCTTGGTGTACAGGAGAGTCCTATTCAAGCGACTATGTTTTTCAAGGAACTGTAAGGTAACTTGATTTGTGCTGATAGCCTCCCCAGGGTGACGGAGGGTTAGAAGGAGAGTCTTGAGACAGGTTAATGTACTGATAATGAAATCAATCATAGAGAATGGTATAGTCGTTAATATGGACCTGGGGCTAGGTGTATCTACCCTCTTACAATATGAGACTGTAGACTTCAACAACAAGATGTGTAGTGAGGTGTATCGTAAACGCATGTATCAGCGGTCTCAGTATGTGACGTGGTGAAGGCACCTTTAACCTTTATTGTCGAAGGTATGTTAAGTTAACCACGCTCGCTGCCTTGGACGTAATGAGCGCGTTGTTTGCGTTGGGTCTATAGCGCTCGGGGAACCAAAGCTTCTCAATGCGTACATAGCCGTGCGTGAGTTCAACGGATGCGACGTATAAGGATTAGACATAGTGTAACAACGCATAAAGCTAAGTATATAGTTCAACATAAGGAGAGAGGATAAGACACGACGCACACTATGTCCCTGTCCTTTTTTATATGTAACAAACATCGAATATTAACATAATATATATGCTTATACTGTACTCTACGTCGTGTTATCGTCATCGGTATTATGGCCTTGTATTGTGTGAGATTCCTTTGGCTTCTAAGTTCTTGTTTAGATGGTATCTGATATCTGCCGCTGATTGCGGCTGGGCTGCTGATCTGACACTGATGATTTCACCGCTGTAGTGCTATGGGAACAGCGCAAGACCCACGTATTTCGTACCTAATTAGTGTCTGGTGCCTTAAACGTTCTGTTACTAGTGAGAACGGGTCAATACGCCTGGCTCAGCGTACGAAGTATTATAGGGCGAGGTGCAGCGTCAGCCCTCTCCCATCCACATGCCTCTTTTCTTTCTCCTTCTGTTTATTTTTATTTTATTCTTTTCGTATACATATATATCATTATTTTCCCCCTTCTCCTTGTGTGTTTTCTTTTTTTATTTTTTATATTTTTTATATTTTTTTATTTTTTTTATTTTTTTTTTATTTTTTTTATTTTTTTTATTTTTTTTTATTTTTTTTTATTTTTTTATTTTTTTTTCGAATTTAGTTTTTGATCCTATCATCCCCCCCCGACTGGCAAGTGCTGTTGTGTCTGGGAGCCGAGTTTTCTATATATACCCCCGTCAGGAGCGGCAGATATTCTCGCACTTACCGACCCCAGAGGTGGGGCCTTGGACTAAACGGAGTTTATCCATACTCCGTACTTAGTAAGACCACAACAGGCCTCCCCCCACCACCTGGAGCGGCGTGTTTTGTCAAATAGAGGGTTTAGCCGCCAAGCAGCAGAGCTTTCTAGAAGATTGCCGGGCCTGCCGGGCGAGTTCAGTGCGTCGTTGGACCTACTGCGGTACACCCTAGCGCCCTAACCCCTTCCGCGTCGTAGGCGCCCTGTTACTCCAGCTAGGAACCCCTCGGCCAGTAACACGCCGTTGCGATCTACTATTATGCCTGTTGTGGTCAATGTCTCTGATCTCCCGCACAGCGACCTGTTAGGCGAAGCCTTCCTTGTTCTCGAGGCCAGACCGGTAAAAAACAAAAAAAAAAAGAAAAAACAAAAAACCTCTGTCCAATTTCCGGGCAGGCGCTGCAAGTGTGTCAACGCTGCGGCCTTGATCCTCGCTGGGCGGCGCTGCTACTCTACTCCAGGGCTCTCTGTCCGCCCGCCCCCCCTCTCTTCCCCCTTTTCTATTGCTTGCCCGACAACCCTCAACGCTGGATACAACCTAGAGATCGGGTTCAAGATAAGGATAGTGAGGTGGGGCTGGGTGCGGCGAAACAAATGCCCGCAAGTGGCGTGCTCAACAATAATACAATACCTACCTAGCCAGGGTTATTAGCACTGAGGGGATGGCGTGGTTGATAGCTTAACCAGGCCGACCGTCAACGTGGTACAGCACTCCGCGGTGCGTGCATGTGAGCAGATACCGTCGATGACCAACGCGATAATTTCTCACGTCTTCCACCTCAGGGTCACATCAATGGGGGCGGCATGTCGCCATCAGAAGCTGGGTCCATGCCCAGGCGGCGGCGAGCGACGAGAGTAAGACAGGCATGCGATGCCTGCCACGTCCGCAAGGTCCGGTGTGATGGGCGGCACCAATGCATCAACTGTCGCTTGTCCAGGAGCACTTGCACATATAACGCGCTCCCCAAGAAACCAGGACCCAAGGGACCTAGGTATGGGCAGAGACCAGACGAACGAAGACGGACGGGTCCGGCGCCGGGTCCTCGCTGTGGCGATTCGGCGTCGAGGACTCTGCGCGCGCCCACGCCCGGGCGCGTCGCCCGACCATGCTCGACGTGCGGGCTGCATCGGGACGTAGTCGGGATGGAGGAGACGTTCGAGCCGTCGCCTCAACTGTCGTCTCACGTAATCAGGCAGTCTCTCGACATGTATCTGGCATTGAGGTATCCCATCACGCCCGTGATAGACGAGGCGCGCGTCGAGGAGTACATGTGCAACTTCGCCAAATGCCCTGGGTGCTATGGCGTTCTCGCGTCCTGTTGCGCCACTGTTGCGCCGGACCGGGATGGAATATCGTCGGCCTCTACCGATCTGCCAGGGCCGTCTCCCCAGCGCCGTATACGCAGCCTCCCTGAGCCGCCGGTCGACCTCTTGATCTCGGAAGCGCTGCGCTCGAGGCGCTTCTACCGCCTGGCCGAGAATCAGTCCCTCACGCAAATCCAAACCTCCCTCCTCTTGCACTGCGCATACTCCAGCCTCGGTAAAGACCCCGCGGCATGGTTCTACCTACGTGAAGCGGTGACCATGCTACAAACATTGAGATACCACGAAGAGGCCACCTATGAGGAGACATCTGACCAGTCCATCGCGAAGCATGCCAGGCGTGCGTTCTGGGCTCTCTTTGTTGCGGAACGGGTCTTCGCAATCCAGCAATACAAGCCTCTTACGCTGCAGCCCACGATAGGCCTGCCCCGCGCCGACCCTCCTCCAGCAGCAGACACTGGTGCATGTGTTCTGCCCGGTTTTCGGGACCTTATATCCCTCCTGTGGCCTATCGATGCCAGTTTCGTTACCGCCTGGAACTCCTTCGCCACAAGTTCGACGATGAGGCTGGTGGGGATGATAGAGGTTGAGCGGCTGGCACAACTACAGGCAGCCTTGTCAAACTGCCTCATCAACGTGTCTGCTTACCCTGAGACACAGCAAGCCGAGCTTCTCATCACACGCGGATGGCTTAAGAACGTTGTTTGGCAGCTGTGCTTGTCCGTAACAACGTTAGCAGGCTCAGACTCTCGTGAGAGTATGTCCTTGGGATACCCCCTGAGCATAGCCCAAGACATGGTCCTAGTCTTCCAACTGTTGCCCCGGACGGCCTTCGCCGCAAACAGGGTTGGCATCTTGGAGAGGGTATCCCATGTTGGACGTTCGCTAGCTAATGTGCTTTCGCTGAACGCGCCCGCCATCCTGCGGCCAATGACGTATGTTGGGTCCACGGAACTTCTGACGGAGATGTCGAGGATTGCAAGTCGAACCCTTGGGGCGGGCTGTGAGGTCACTGGCTTAATACTTGAAGAGTTACTCTGTTAGTAGAGGGAAGCTTGGGGTTCGTTTCATCTTGCGATAGCGCAGATCCAATTGCTCACTGAGACCCCCTAGGATTCCCATGACGGCTGCGGCTGGTGTAGTGGACCGCCCCGTAGCTAAGAAATGCTAGCCCCGCCCCAAGATGGAGCGGGTGTGGTTACTCCACAAGCTACGGAATGCGCTCCTGTCCGGCTCTGTCAACGATTGCTGTTGAGTAGATGATGTCTGGTATCGTTCGCTGCGATGAGCGTTATACAAAGTTGGCTCTCTCCTCTCTGAACCGATACGAAGGGGCAGAGGTGGGCCTGCTTAGTACACGCGATAATACGCTGTCCGGCTGTATGTGCTGCTAGACCGGACTTGTAAGTCACTCTCCTCACCCTGGGACTTGTTTGGAGTTTCGTCCTAAGAGACGTGCTAACCCCCCCTTGGAGAATGTGGGGGTTGAAGCAGTGATGTAGATATGCTGATTGGGCCAGGATACCTCTGGATAGCACCTTGACAACATAGCTAGGCACTTACTACTTAGGCTGCGTCTACAGCTGGATGACAAGTTGCATGCCGAGACGAAGAGGTGGGTATGCCATCACGGCAGTTGATAGTGAGCTGGAACTTGAAGCCGGGATCGCTCTGAGTGCGGTAACCCCCCCAGACTTGACAATTCACAGCATCCGACAACAACTGGTTGTTGGTGCTTGCTCGCTTGGATACGCGGTGTTCGTGCCGGGTGCTGGCGGTGACCAACCCGTACTGTTAAAGCCTTAGGGGATGGCACTCATAGAGGCTGCTGAAAGGGTTGAGTTGAGGTGAAATGAATGGCGACTAAGAACTTGGCGCGCATTTCGGTCTACGGATGGCACACGACTTGGTATTACACACGAGAAACCACCATTGTGGACGATGCAATGCGCGTTTGGCTTAGCTATGAAGGGTTATCATGATCATATTAGTGACCAACCCAAAACCGCGCAACTGGGGAGGTTTTGGGATAACGACTATAGGGAGTATTGTCTAACGTATTTTTTAATAACTCAAAAGTCCGCATTTGACCGTGCCCTGCCAGCCTGTATAATCAGCTCTAGGCGCTGGCTGGTTTTCAAAACTAGTAGGGTGATATACATTAGACGAAGTATGTGGTTTAACCCTCAGAGACGGAGGAGGGGTGTAGATTTTCCATTTTCTCCGCCTGATCACTATTGAGGTCAAGTACCCGTGTGATATAAAGTGGGACTGGTCCTGTCCGCTGCACGTTCCCGGTCGCAGTGTGAACTAATGGAAACCCACGGAGGGACTGGAAAGAAACCACAGGCGTATTATGTTCGCCCCGGCTGCCCCAGCATGCTGCCGACGGAGGGCAGCGGGGAGGAACGCTTCGAAGCATTGGCATTTCTCTATTTGCTGCGCTCAGCCGCCTCTCTCGTCTTACGTTGTCCAGTGGGATATGGTTTTTTCTAACTCCGTTCAGCGGCCGGTCCGACGTGCGGCTCATGAGCTCATCACTATACTCGTCGCAACCCTTTGCAACCTCAGCTGTTCTTAGGGACATGTGTCATTTACCAAATAGCCTTAACCATATCTCGGGACAGTACGCCGAGTTTCTGTGTCGTATGTGTGGGTGATGGAGCACCTGAAGGCTGAGAGACTACGCTGCCGGATGCTACGTAGGCCAGGCAGCAAGCAAGTGGCTGCCGCCGGCGGCACATAAGAATACCGGGGTCTCTAGGTAGCCAAATGGGGCGATCTATATCTAACAGCCATCGTCGGCGCCTTGCTGCTCTGGAGACGCCTGAGATAAGGTCTGTACGCTCAACCGGGCTGGGGATGAGGAGGAAGACGGACGGGCCAAGACACGGGAACTCGGTGAGACTTCTTGGACCGAAGAGTCGAGGAATTAGGCTTGCATCGGCCGGGCAGATTTATGGTGTTGGCGTCACCACTGCTAAGTATTCGAAGTCGCGTCTGAACTTTCATGGCGTTCTCCGTACGCCGTACGGGAAAGGCAAGGGTGGGGAGGGGGCGGGCAGGAGGGAGAAGAAGAAGAAGGATAAAGCGGGGAGGGACTCCGCGGATAGGCTCCCGTCTCCAAGAGCCCAACACTACTTAAGTTCCAGCTAGTTTGCTTTCCTTACCTTGGCTACCTGTCCAAGACAACGAACCGACCCCCGCCCGCCCCCCCCCCCCCCAAAAAAAAAGAAACACACACACACACACACACACACACACACACACAAATGGAAGTAAAGAAAATAAAAGATCATACATGCGCATCTTGGTTGATATTGAGCCATGGGTCTACGGCCCGTCTGCTGATAATGGCTGTGAACATACTGGTGGCGTCCATGACCCTCATACGGAGTAGTCCTTCATTCCTAACAACCTTGGGCGCTTTGATCTTTATTGGTCTACATCATACTCAACGTCGGTCTCTACGGCACGTCCTGATCATTAACCTCATGGTAGCTGGTAAGGTGGTCTCCTGTCGATGTCAATGTTCGGCGGGATGAAACGCTGACGACAACAACCATCAACATAAAGAAGTCACGAACTCGGCCAATAACACTGTCTCGGAGACTATCTACATCAGGGACAAAAGATTACAACGCGCGCGTCCTGGACGGCGTGGTTGGTCAGCGCTCGGTGCAAGCATCCGACTTCTCCATCCTCGCTATCGCTATAGCCACACTTCTGGTGATAAGACGGGAAGCGAATATGGCGGACGGCTCGTCACTTGAGAAGTTATCCATCTGCTGCTGCGTGTGGGTCGTTCCCATTACTAACAGCGCCTTGGCTGCTGGAATGGGCGTGATGGAGCCGGTCAGCGGGAACTGGTGCTGGATCACACGGGACCGGCCTGACCTTCGATTTGCCCTCGCCCATGTCTGGCGTCTGTGGATCATGTTCACTACGGTTTGCGTCTACGCTTTCGTCTGGCGGTATCTCAGCCAACATCTGCGCGCCACCGCGAGTACATCCTGGCTTTCATGTGATGCTGAATCATCGACAGTACGCATGACGACGGCTTTGACCCATCAGTCCTCCAACAAACCTAGCCACCACTTCAGCAAAATGAGGCTCACAGGCGTTTTAGCGTTTTGCGCCACGGTCTATGGCATGGCCATCTCAAATGTACCGAATGGAACTGAGAATGAGATCTCCATCCCTCAAGACGACAGCACAGCTGCGACGCACGAGGATCATTTCAGTGCAAGTGGGATATTCTCACGAGACCAGAGTAAGGCCTGGCGAGAGCCCGAGAAGGTTGTGGGACGCCCACTTGAAACAACAAGTATTACTACTTTATGTCTTATAAACCGGCCTATCGCAATCATCGCCACACACGGGAGCCTTACCCGAAGTATGTGGTGGACTGGACCGACTGTGTCCATGTCGGCCTAGTTGTTGGGAAAACGGCTAGATTCCAGAAGAAGTTCGAGGCCGAATATCTGCACGTGAGGGTTCAGGACAGCAAACCGGGCGAGTGGACACAGACCCGCCATAAATGGGATGGCCCTGTTATAGATCGACGGTTAGTACTTGCCCGGCATATGATTGGTCTCATGCTGACGCAGACATCCCCAGCAATACCTACAAGGGGCAGAAGGCTTCAGTTAACATAACCAAGCTGTGGAATTATGGTTGGTCCTTACCAGATTTTCCCCGTGCGACAGATGCTTAATTACGTGGTGTACTTTAGGCAAAGAATGGGTGGCAGCTGCTGGGAAAAAGATAGACGCGGACCACAACTGCCTGAAGTACTTTGACTTCCTGGTATCTAAAATCAGAGAAACCCTCGCTCAAGTGCGGTCTCAGCTGTTTTTGGTTCTGATAGACGGACATGCGCTTGAATCACGCCTTTACATAGAAAGGGGTGCTTCATAGTTAGGATACATAAATACACCCTGACAGCTTGGTTTTTTTCTAAAAGAAAATAAAATTAGAAAGAGAATTCCACCGAGTTTACGTGGCGAACTGTACTGATGTGACTAGGAACTGCTTGCTGGGAGGACGACCGCTGTGTTCAAACAGCCCTTACCTGTGCTAAGTGCCCTAATTGAGTCGTACACCAATGAGCACCCGTTCATTCTGGGGCCGCACGCTGGGAGTTAAGCACCTGAATTGCCTTCTAGATTGCCCTCGGCCTGTATCCAGGCTCGACATAGTGCATTTATGGTGCTGAGGTAGATTGATATTCAATGCGCGGCAGAGGAAACATCGACGACGGCGGGGAAAGGGCTTTAGGAGCGGCAAGTTCAACTACTGATTATAACAATCTTGCCTGCCTTGATGGAGGTCGCTCTGGGCATGACATGCTTCCCTTGGCGTTTGACCGTGAGCGGGCGTTGACTTGGAGCGCACAACGCGTCCACAGTTGATAGAGGCTAGGACTGCTATGAAAGTGTAGCATCGGCCCTAAGGCGTTAGCCATTGCCCGGGGCCTGAGGAATACGATAAACTACGTACGATTGATGCCGACCTGGCAGCTAGGGGAAGGGTCTTCAGGCGTCCCTGACGTCGATTACCCCTAACAAAAGCTAAGTGGCAACGTTCGGCAGTGTTAACAATGACGGCGAGCTCAACCACTCTTGCCTCCTACACCAGCAAAACTATCTATGAGGCCAGGAAATATTTCCTTACTGCGTAACATACCAGCTGCCATCTCTAGAGGAAGGAGGCCGGGGGCTTCTACGGGTGGGCAAGCTATGCGTTATTAGCCCTGTTATTTAACTTGGAAAGGGAGTGAATACGAGGACACAGTGGATGGTATGAGTCTGCCGCCATGAGATTGCAAGCGTTGATATCCTAGGGACTTGGGTGCTTAGGTTCTTTGAGGTTGGGTATAATAACAACGATCAGGATGGGGATAGGTTAGGAGGGATGATGATGATGATGATGCGAGCTCCCGACTCTTGGATAAGGACACCAGATAGGACCAAGGGGGCTCACCAGCTTACACAGGCGACGGTGTTGCCTGGGACACGGACGTCGAGAACATCTGCATCCCACGCCGCAGGGGACAAGACGGGTAAGATGAATTAAAGAAAAAAAAAACCCCAGCTTACAGAACAGGCATGAACGAAAAGAAACGCGCGTCCCACGCGTATTTGGCGAAGAAGAAACGGTCATAGGATCAATCAATCGAAGCGTGGATTAAAGCGCTGATAAAAGGCAATAAACTGCTTCTCTCTAATGCAGACTCTGAAACATTTCCACGGCCCTCATGTGCCTTGTTCAATACCAATGGGCATACCAAACGATCCTATCTCCCTCGCCCTAGTTGATGCAGAGCCCGTCGACAGTGGTATCGCGTGCCCAGGCTGGGTATACCGTACCACCCTTGCCTGACACAGCAACGCGCAGAACCTCAGGGCCCCAGGCATTTGGCTTTGGCTCATGGAGGACCGACGTGATGGCGAAGATGTGGCAGGACTGGAGCTTGTACGTTAGCTATAGGAGATAGGAGGGTGGGGTGAGGGACGGCTTGTAGACGTATGGGCTTAGCTTACCGCGGGTCGTCTCGGCTTCCTTCTGTGCCCATTCATATATGTTCGTGCCGGGGGGGATAAGGCGCACAAAGCGCTTGGATTCAAGATGCTCGCCGGGCCCACGTGCCTCCAGCTCAGCTTATGCCTGACATCTTCGATGTTATAGGTGGTGAAAAGAATACGGTAGTTGTGAGGAAGGCTCCACTGCAGCAGCTCCATGTTCTTCAGAAGTCGGAACAGGGTTCTTCGGGGTACTGCCCAGACCGAGGGCCAGAGGTCTGTGAACGGCTTGTTGACAGAAGTGAGGCCGGCTTCGAGGATTTCGTAGACGACTGGCTCAAATTGGTCCTCGAGTACGTACGTGGGTGTGTCGAGGGGCATTCTTGAGATGTTGACGGGGATGGGGAAGTGCATGCGCCCACCCGAGCGGACAACGGCAGGAGCGTGGGGTGCGGCGACTGCCGCATGGCGATAGTGGGAGTTCTCCCGGCGGTTGTGGGGATGATCTTCTTCTATGGGGGATGCTGGCGTGAGAGATTCGAGTTTTCCGCTAGCGTCTGATGTTGTATTATCAGCGTGCGACTGTGAGGAAGGGAAGTATTGCGAGACGAGGGGTCTGCGGGGGCAGTACGAACCTAACATCGCAGTGAACATGCTACTACCAGCACTATCTGTGGTCACGTCAGTGACTCCATAGACCAGTCTCATCGCAAAGTCGAATGCAGCATGCTACCGTGTGGCTCGAGGGCCCCGCGCGCTGCTAAAAGTTAGTGACAATAATCTCCCCTTTCGTCTTCACGTTAGTGAGCTTGTTAAGAGAAGTTTGAGGTGTTCTCGTGCTCCTCGGCTGACGGATAACCTTAGTATCACTGGCCTGGGCATGCTAAGGCTCCACTAGCAAGTGGACTTGATAGCTAGGTTCAAGCTAACGGAAGAAGTCTAGTCATGGAGGACCTGCTAATTAGCCACGGAGGGACATATGCTATGGGCATAGGGGAGGCGGCCTCGCCACCCCGATGGCGTCGAGGCTGGCGAGGAAAGGCAGACACGAAGAGCTTCGTTTCAAGACAATGGATGGACTCAATAGCTTCTGTAGATATTGCGCTGTAGTGTGCGGAGTGACAGTAATTGATAACTAGTCATGGTGTCGAATTGGTTCGATAGCGATGAGTAGAAAGGAAAGCTGTGAAGAAGGTGATAAGCTTTGATATTAAGGCCAGAGCCCACATTTATATTAGGAGTGGCATGCACATATGTAGCCGTTACTGAAAGACGAGACCGATGGACCAGATAATATGAGGTAGGAGAAATGGGGAATGCCTTGAGCCTCAAACGTAGGTCGACATTTCCGTTTTGTAGTCCACTCACTCGGTATCTCGCAGGAAGCGTGCCAGCACTGCCGATGCGAGGGATAAAGTAGTTAAATAGGAACTCGAAATACCGAAACTTCGAGATCGAAGGGAATTACCCAGTGAACACCAGAGTGTCTGACGTCGGAGGACGTGTGGGTAAGGTGAGAAGATATCTGATATCGAGAGGGAATGTCCGTGACAACGTTCAATCATAAGCACACGCTAGCGTGTCTGTCCATCGTATAGAATGCTTGCTGGCTTGCCTCGCGATCTTCTGCTGTTGCGTCTGGGCTGTTGCTGTTAGGAACGAGCTATGCTTATCCGTAGCAGACGTTGCATCTTCCTTCGCCGTCCCCATAAGCAGAATGGTTACTTCTTCCGTCTATCATCCGGTTGAAAAGAACCTGTTGGTATTTGTCAGTGGGAAAATGCTCCGTCCCTGGCGCCTACTGTCATAAATTGCTGGTTTTGCTGCTGCTTCTCCTACCTCTTCTGAGCCAAAGTCGCAAACATCACCGCTATATATAAAAAGACCTCTCATCTCCCATCTCATCCTAAACCTATTCTTCTCCCTATACACAGACATGCAGCTACAACCGAGGCAATACCAACTGATAACTGCTTTTTCGATCTATAAGCAACCTTCCCCCATACTACTATAGCAGCTCCTCGTGAGCAGGCAGCAGCGCTCAGTAGCAGCGTTAAAGTTTAAACCGCAAGGGTAGGCACTTGCTAATATCACGCTACTTCCTAGCGCTTTCTAGCATACTTACGTGGTTCTTCTAGATCAATCACTGCTTCCTTCCTTGCCTAAGGTAGTCTTCTAACAGTAATTGACATGGTAACCTCACTGTTACGACGTCTTCCGGTTGCCCCGCCCGTCCTTGTTTCGGCGCCCGGCGTTCCGCGCCTGCTAGTCTCTTCCGTCCGCTCATAGATTTCGGCACCTCTTAGCCTCAGGGCGGCCCTAAGAAGGATCACAAGGACACACGATGTGCCTTGCCAGCGAATGCTTCAGCTGTATTTGGCGCGGATGAAGAAACAACGAGGGCCGGCAAGACGCTCTTCGGCTGGCGCCCTGGTTTCAACACAGTCAGCAAGCCTTGCTACCCTTGAGGGCTCCCAGCCCCACGTCAAGTCCTGCTGCAACAAGATCTGGAAGCACCGAAAGGCCCAAGACAAGCTCGGAAACGACAAGTGCCCCGCCTCTAGCCCTGCGGCGGCTTCGAGGGCACCTAGGCTCCTATGGCCGTCAACCGGGGCGAGGGGCGCCTTACTGTTGACCTCAATGAGGGCAGAAGCACCTCATAGTCTAGGCCAAGCCCGGAAACAACAAGTGCCTCGGTACCGAGCATCAAAAGACGATCCAGCGTTAGAAGGAACCCTATTTGGAACCTGCACCCTGTCCCAACCGGGCATACGATCTATGGAGTGCACCTCAGGGAAGTCTTCAACCTTGTCACCCAACTACGTCAGTTCGTATGAACCAGCCCTTCAGCGGTAGTATTCGCCGAGGACTTGGTCTGAATGTGGACGTTGGTAGCACAGCTCAGCTCAGCTGTCTAGGAGGGTAACAGGCGGCAGTTGCACATGTTCGTCCGACATAACAGAAGAACCTCTAGAATGGCTTGTTCCTACTTTATGATGAAACTCACCTGGAATCTTTATTTGCTATAGGCTATAGGTTACTGTTGGGATAGGATTCCGCTATGATTGGACGGCATGGAGATGGGCGGACGCTTGTGTTGTCTCGATCATAAGTGCTATACTGGGATGCTTACATAAGGACGAGTTGGGAGGTATTAGCTCTGGGGTAGTTGGGTGTGAGTGTGAGTCAACGTGAACCATTGGAAATGGTCTAGATCTCTCCAAACTCTTTCTCGATTCAATCAAGCCATCCCTCTATAGGTCGAAAACTTGGGTTCAATAGGCACCTCGCTAGTAGCTTCAATTGCATGTATGATTAGTGCATTAGTGCAGTCCGGTCGCAGAACCCTGACCCCTGTCTTCGTAGACCCCACTCTGCCTTCTACTGCATAGTAGTCTCTACTGCATAGTAGGAGGGTGGGTAGGGTTAGGGAGGGACTAGGGATGCATGTCGTGCTTGATGAGGCCAGACATGCAGGCACCGCCGCACTGGCCCCTCGGATGGATGGTGAAAACGCGAAGCCGAAACTCTAAACCAACGACGTGGGTGGCCGACCACGAGCAATTGCCGACAATGTATCCTCAAATCTCCTCTCGGCTGTTAAGGGGAGTAGCGGTATTCGGCACCCCCCTGCACGGTATTCGGCACCCCTTTGCTAACAGAAAAAACCGATATCTCAATCGAATACCAAACCTCTAACCACTAACCCTAACTTACCCATAACCCTAACTACCTAACCTAACCCTAACGTACTAACCGCGTAAGCCTCCGTATTTTTCGCGATTTTCCCTACTTTTTTCCTAATTTTCCTTAATTTTCTAGGAATTTCTAAACGTTTTCGCGTACGTTAAGTGCGAATGTTAGTGCGGACGGCTGTGGGCTGATTTTAGGTGGGCGAGTGTCCAGCGTGCACGGCTTTTTTTTGTATGAGAATCCTTCCTAAAAGGGTTTAAGAGTGTGCCGAATAACGAACAGGGGGGTGCCGAATACCGCTACTCGTTAAGGGAGATATTCTGCACCTAAGTCCCGCTATTTTTCTAACCCAGCCTGCCCGGATGCGACCCCAATAAAAGCAAAACTATCTGCCTGCGGCGGTCTAGATCCACAGCTGCATGGTTTGAGGCAGGGTGATTAGGATGCGCCGGGGTCTCGGTAATCTCCAGCCGGAGCAGTCCTGCGGGGAGTGCCAAGTCATAGCACCACTAGGGGGATCCGGAGAGAGGAATAGGTGGGGAGTGGTGCGCGCTAATCGCGAACCACGCTGGGTAGGTGTGACAGCTGACGGCCGAGCGGCCCGGTCGGTTTAGCAGGTCCCGTCTGAAGGATTGCGTCAGAAATTGTGGGTAGGTGAACAGGCCCTCCCCACGCCGGTCTCGAAAGCCCTGATCCCCTCCTCATTCAGGTTCCAACGGTCCGATGAACCCCTTCTCGGAATAGGGACGAGCTATTTGCCCATCTTTGCAGACGGCGCAGGGCATAGAGATGACGTTGTACAATGACTTATCATGGCTGGGGCTTGATAACACCTCCCAGGCAGGCTAGGGGGGTCTGTTCTTCACCAATGAAGGGATGATTTCCAATCTCGACTCACTATTCAGGTTTCCACAGTTCCATACCTGGCTCTTATCAGCACGTGATCCGCAAGTGATGCTTAAAGGCAGAGGGGCGTCATAGTCTGTATGAGAATGACAACATCAGCAACAATAGCAACAATAGCAATAAACTTCCTACAAGGCTATGGGCCGGATGTTGCTCAAGACAGGCATTGCTCCACTGATCGATATGGAGAAAGGGGGACGGGAACCAGTATATGTGCCTTTCTACTGGCTAGAAGACGCAGTAGGTAAGGCCTTGCTGCGGGAACCCTTTAGTCCTGTATTGCCTCTGAACGCGAGTCTGACTTTGCAATAAACAGCAGAAAGCGATAGACTAACGGTTCGGGTCTCGGTAGAATGACGTAGGATCCGACTTTCGCCCATCAGTAGAGCTGTGCTAGCCGGGAGGTGCGTTGCTTGATTTCCTAGTTGAGGTAGCAGAGCCTGTAGTTGGATTGGCGTCCTTGCGTGTTCTACGCCTAACCTAGAGGCTTGAAGTTAGTTGAACTTGGGGAAGTCTTGCTGAAAACATCCTTTGATGGAGCCTACACCTAACTTGGGCTGACCTTTCGCCGACATGGTGAGTCTAGTCAAACAGCCACGAGTCTAGAGGTTGTTGAGTATTACAAAAGTATTTAGAGCAACAAATACGATTGGTCTTCGCATCCGTATAGAAATATTTCAGACTATACCTTGTGGAGGGATTCTACAGACCTCTTTCAGGTCTCCTCGCCACACTGATTTCGTCTCTATCCAGCGCACCTTGGGTCTCGCTTATTTCTCTTTTCTCTTCTTTCTTTTTTTCCTCTTTTTCTTTCTTTATTATTCTCTCCTGAGTTTCTTTTCGTCTTTCCTTTTTTTATTCTCCTCTCCTTCTTTGTTTCTTGTGATCCTATCTGTTAACATATAACATCTTATATAATAATAATAATACTTATAATAATACTTACTTACTTAAATATTCTATATAAAATAAACTAATAGACTTTAAGGGTTAAAACCTTATATAAAAATACTCTATTTGTTATAACCTATAACTATAATATTGATTATGTAATACGTATAGTTACGTAAGCACTTTATGTAATTAGCAGTTTAGCAGGTTATGTTTCA